CACATGAGTTGAGTGCAGCAGCTTCCCAGTGCAATGTACTCGGCTTCTGCTGTTGACAGAGAAACACTGTTCTGTTTCTTGCTGTGCCATGAAATCAGGTTGTTGCCCATGAAGAAACATCCACCACTTGTGCTTCTACGATTGTCCAATGAATCAGCCCAATCAGCATCACAGTAGCCTGTCAAGCTCCTGGTTGTATCCTTGGTGTAATATATCCCAAGATTTACAGTCCCCTTGATGTACTTGATGATCTTCTTAACAGCCAACAAATGAGACTTCTTTGGTTTGGCTTGATACTGAGCACAGATTCCAACAGATAAACAGATGTCTGGTCTGCTGGCAGTTAAGTACAACAGACTCCCGATCATTCCTCTGTAAACTCTTTCATCAACATCCTTTCCTGCTTCATCCTTTGAGAGCTTGTCAGTCACACTCATTGGAACCTTCGCCTCTTTACTCTTAGCGAGACCAAAACGTTCAACTAAATTCTTGGCATAGGTGCTCTGTGAAACAAATATTCCATCAGCTGATTGTTTCCCTTGCAGCCCCAAGAAATAGTTTAACTCCCCACACATGCTCATTCAAATTCTTGAGTCATGTTCTTCACAAACTGATCAACTAGCGGCTGACATGTGGATCCAAAGACAATGTCATCAACATATATCTGAACAAACATCACACCATTGTTATCTTGCAACACAAACAGAGTTTTGTCTACATTCCCACGCACATATCCCTGTTTGATCAGAAATGTTGTCAGACGCTCATACCAAGCTCTTGGAGCCTGTTTCAATCCGTAGAGAGCCTTCTTTAGCTTGTACACATGATCAGGACGCTGAGGATTCTCAAATCCTTTAGGTTGCTCTACATACACTTCTTCTTGGAGAATTCCATTTAGAAAGGCACTCTTAACATCCATCTGATGCAATGTGAAATTCAGAGCACATGCCATGCCAAACAGAAACATGATGGACTCCAGTCTTGCTACAAGAGCAAAGGACTCGTTAAAATCAATGCCTTCTATCTGAGAGTATCCTTGAGCAACCAACCGCGCCTTATTGCAAACAATACATCCATGCGCATCACTTTTGTTTTTAAAGATCCACTTAGTACCCACAACATTGACATCAGCTGGTCGTTGTTTGAGCTCCCAGACATCACTTCGTTCAAACTGCTCTAGTTCATCTTGCATAGCAGCAATCCAGTATTCATCAACAAGAGCATCTCTGTGATTCTTGGGCTCCAGGGTTGACACAAAGCAAGCAAACTGCACAACCGCCGCCATCTGTGGAACTTCAGCAGCAGCATTCTTCTGCTTATGGCCAGCGAGTTGCTTGAAGTCGATCTTCTTTCCTCTAGTAACTCTGCCCCCCTGAATCATACCTATAATATCATTAGAGGTGTGATTATTATGCACCTGAGGAGTAGGTAGAGGCTCAGCAGTGTCTTCATCGGCGTCGGAGCCATCATCAACTTCCTGCTCTGGACTTGGTTCATACCCCACAACTCCTTCATTGTAATCCTTAGGAGCATTAGTTACTGAGAGCACATTTTCATATACACGAAAAGACGCATCATCAAACACCATATTAACAGTCTCTTGATGTGCAAGCTTCAGCATCGTACGAACATTTAGATGTCCTAACTTCTTATGCCACATCTCAGTTTGAAAGTCAACAGCTGCTTGAAAACAACGATTACCTGAACTCCACATGTAACAATTATTACCAGACCGCTGTCCCTCAAGTTGAACACGTCCTAGACGATCCACAGCCTTGCAGTTGGCCTTGGTAAATGTTACATCCAGACCCTCATCACACAATTGACTGATGCTAATCAGATTGGCCTTCAGTCCATCAACCAGAAACACATTATGTAAGCTTAGTTGAGATTCACCAACTGTGGTACCTTTTCCTCTGATTTTTCCTTTTGCACCATCTCCAAAAGTAACTCTGCCTGCTGAAACCTGTTCAAACTCTGACAGATTGTCTTGAGCTCCAGTCATGTGTCTTGAACATCCACTGTCAAAATACCACTTCTCCTGAGTTGACTCCTGTTCATCAGCAGTGTAAGCAACATTGCAGTACAGATCTTCCTTTCTGATGTAAGCTCTGTTCGTATTCTTAGAATCCCTGTGATACCGCTGATGCTGCATCATTGCAGACACACGATTCAAAAAACCATAGCATTGTGCCTTGTAGTGATTCAGATTACCATAATACCAACAACCTGTTCTTCTGCTACGGTGAAGACGAAACACAGAACCATAAGCTGACTGAACCTGTTCACGAGGAGCCATTCTTGATTTACGAACGTGAGCTGATTTTTCTTGATTAGATGAGGACACAACACGCCTCTGATTCTTCTGAGAAACAGGCTTCCTTTGAGTAGCTTCTGCTGGCTGTGGAGCTGCCTTAACAAACTTAGTTGTACCATTGGAGTTTCCACCTTGATACCCTAAACCCCAGTTGACATTAGCCGTTCGTCCCACAGTTAGGAGTTTGTCCTGATCTTTAGTGCCTTTGCTCAGCATCTTGATGTTTCTGAGTTGATCCTCCAACTGCCTCTCAAGACCCTGCGGCTTGACTTTCTCAGCTTCAAGATCCTTGGATATCATAGAAACTTTCAATTGAAGTTCATCTCTTTCAGTGGTTAGATCAGCGATCTCCTTTGTCTTGTTCATCAGACTCCTGATCAAAAGAGCAACTTGTTCTTCAGTTGGAAGATTTGCTTCATCATCCTCTGATTCATCACCAACGACCTGACTAACATCCTCCTGAGCTGTCACACCAACACTCTCATCGTCTTCCTCAATGATACCCAAAAATGCCACAAAATTGTTTAACACTTCTCCTTTTCCTTCATCTTCATCAGTATCACTCTCACTCCAAGTCACATACGATTTCTCTTTGGAGTCTCTTCCTAGGCATTCAGCCTTGGTGTGACCATAGCCCTTACACTCATAACATTTCAGTGCATTTTTCTTCTTCAAATTCGGACATTCAGCCTTGAAGTGTCCATAGCCTTCACACTCAATACATTGTTTCTCAGACTTATCACTCCTCTTGAATTCTTTTTGTTGCCCTGATCTGTTGTTGACTGAAGACCCACGTTGCTGACCTCGCTCCATTTTCTTGAAGTACTTTCTCACAAGCATACCAACTTTATCATCATCTGCAGATTCCTGAGTGTCAACAGTATTCAGTGCGAAAGTTTTTCCACTCGCCTGCTCCTTTTTCTTAACTTGTAGCTCATATGCCTGCATCATCCCAACTACTTGATCGAATTTCAACTCATCAGAATTCAACGAGACATCGATTGCAGACCTATGTGGCTGAAACTTCTCTGGCAGACTTCTGAGAAATTTTTTAACCAACTTCTTATCTTTATAGCGTTTTCCCAACACTATAGCCTCTTGAGAGATGTTACTCTGCTTGCTGATGAATTCCTCAATAGTCTCACTATCTCCCATAGTCAAGTTCTCGAAGTCAGATGCTAAGATGTCAAGTATGGTTCTCTTCACATTGCTGGTTCCTTCGAAGGTGACCTGAAGGATATCCCATGCCTCTTTTGCAGATTCACATCCCTGAACTCTGGTGAACTGATTCACAGGCAGCGATTTGAAGATTAAGGACAGAGCTGTTGCGTTGTGTTTTGCTGCAAGCTTCTCCTCTGCAGTCCAATCCTTCTTGGGTTTCGAAACAGCATCTCCAGCCTCGTTTGTTTTCACAGGGGCTGTCCATCCATCTTCAACAGCTATCCAGGCATCAAGATCAGCACTCT